TTCTTCATTCTCTTTTTGGTTTTATAAATATAAATTACAGTTTTTAATTACAGTGCTTTACATTGGAAATTTCGTTAGTGATGCTGTGTATATATTAGATAATATCGTGCCAGCATTAGAATTACTATATGGCTATGTTATGGAATTGAAATGGAGGCTCGAGACACTGAGACTGCATTTAATGCAAAATCCGATACCCAAAAAAACATAAAGCACTCCCGGATCGGAAAGTGACTGGGACAAGACACACACGCACAGAAATATACAAATACACTTTGGGCTTAGATGTACGATGGAAATAACAGCTACAACGCACGATGCTGTCATTCGCTGATTACTTTTAAAGCTTTTTAGCGCCCAATTTCATAGGCCCACTGGCTCGCTGGGCCCGACGAGCCTCCAGTTCCCTCTGTCGCTGCAGTTTCTTCTCCTCGCGCTTGCGACGCGCTTCATCCAGCTTGGCATTCCCTGAAGCAATATCACTCAATTGTAGAGATTGAGAATCTCTAGGAATACAAATATGAAACTTACCCAGTCCCGATTCATCTAAGGGCTCAAATTCACCATCTGCCCACGAATCACTGTTCCAATTGGCATTATGCGTCGAATTATTGAAATGCGACGAAGGCGGGCTAATGTTATTGCAATTGGCAGTGGCCGATGTAGGCGATGTATTGCTGCTTGAGAGATTGGGAAGCTCCTTTGGTCGCAGCATCGCCTGCTGTCCCTTCGAAGGCGAGGTGACATGCGAGTTTAGCTTGCCCAGAGGTTCAATCAGGTCGTTCAGATCGTTCTGCTTAATATGTTGTTGATGTGGCTGCAGCAGGGGTCGCTGATGGTGCTGACTGGATGACGTGGTGGATGATATAGATTGTCTAGCCAGCTGTTGCTGCTGCTCCTCTTGCTCAGCCTGCTCCTCCTCTTCGCACTAAACAAATACATTCCTGCCTTTAGTAATTGCCATGAAGTGTTAAACTGTGTTCTCTTACCGGATCCTCTTCCAGGCTGCCCCATTCCTCGTTATCCCAACCATCGCGTACTTCGTTCAACGCATTGGCAGCCATCATAGCACCATTGTTGGAACTGGCTGCCAGAGGACTGCTAGGATCTTGAGAGGTCTGTAAGAAATGTTTAACATCAATCAATGTATCTGTTTTATTGATCCATTTATAATACTTACATCCATTTCACCCCAGTTTTCGTTGTCCCAATCGTTGTTCCCATAATCGGAGGCCGAGGCGGAGGTATCATTGCTTTCATGCTCTAGCGACGTCATTGAGGTAACACTGCTTGTGGTGGTCGATAAACTGCTGCTGGATGGTTGCTCTATATTGCAAGGAATTGGGGTTAATTTCATTCCAAAAGTGCACATAAAAAGTAATTACTTACCCAGCGATGCTGGCTTGGACAGATTACGTCCTGTTAAAGGCGGTCTTGGTCGAGACGAATCACTTTGGCTGCGATAGAACTTGGCTGTAACGGCTGTCACCGCCCATCCTGCCCAAGTGGCCGCCGCATTTCCAATTGAGGGCGTGGCTGTATGAACATCCGCCTCTGAAATTACATTTTTAAAAAGCTCGTTAGTGACTGAAAAAAGTGACCCTTTTTATATAATTTTTTGTTGGGCATCGTTGCAGAACCATTTGCATAAGTACTGCAAGGATAAAAATTTCTAGCTCATTAAGTCGTTTAACAAAGATTTTACATGGAAATATAAAGAATATTTTGTCAAATATTCAAGATCCAAATTCATATAGTTTTGGGCAGTTTTTATAATTTATGAGGATTTCTTACATAAAATTACTTACCCATCGTCTCGCGCAGGCTGGGATCCTCTGAGACCTTTTCTAATTTACCCAGAAAGCCACGAATAGTTTTGAATGCCGGATCACGCACCGTCTTCTCGGGGTCAACGCTCAGAGAACATAGCGATGGCAGGACCCTGTTGGCCACCTCGCTAAGCAAAAAGTACTGTTGAGTGGCGGCCAGCGCCAAAACTCCAGCAACTCTAGCCGGCGGAAACGGATCACGCATTGCTCGAATGAAGGCGGAGACCAAAACCCGTTGGCGTACCTGTGGATGCAAATGTGGCGCAATCTTTCCCAGGCACACAGTCGTATTGGTGCGGATTCCGCCTTGATCGTCTCGAGCCTGTAGCCTCGCAAAATGACGCAGCACCTCCACATTGAGATTATTGTAGTTTAGTTTGGGAGCCAAGTGAATGATCGACTTCACTGTCTGCTCGCGTATGGTAGCATTTGTGTCTAGGAAGCCGTGAGCCACTTGTGGGAAAATTTGATCGTTGACCACCTGTGGCTGGAGATGGGCAACGAATAGGTCCAGTTGCTGCAGCAGTCGTGAACGAGTCACACGATCCGTGGAGCCAAACAGCTTTACCACACAGGGCACAATCCGCTTTTGATACTCCACTTCATCTAGAAGTTTTCCAAGCTACAATGTAAGAAAATACATTAGTTCACTTGGATTTCAAAGAATAGTTACTTTGGGAACAACCTTAAACATTGGTGCCAAAACTGCGGAGCCGGCATCTCCATATTCATATGCGGTTATCAGCTGGGGAAGTATCTTGTGCTTGCACACATTATCCGGAAAGTTGTCCAAATGCGTGGTAAGGCCGCTGAAAAAACGATTCTTTTCCGCCTTGTCTTTGATTTGGATTTCTTCCAGGAAGAGCAGGGTATCCACCAGATCGTTCTTGAAAAACCCACCGGGCTTGCGACATCGCGTGATTATATCTGCCGGATTGGGACGATTTGAGGGCGACGCTCCAACCAGTTCGCAATAAAGAGACTGCAGGGATTTGGGGATGTGGTCAATGTCCTTCAGATTTGAACGTTGCTTGAGAACTCCGTTGAAAGCTTCCCATACCAAGCATCCTAAGCCCCACATATCAACAGAACTGAAAGGGTTTCTCGGAAGTTAGAAACAATAAGAAATATTGAAGGTATTAGACTATTACCATTTGGTGGCCGCCTTCAGTTTGGTCTGATCATTTTTCTCTGGCGAATCGTAGACCTCCAGGGTTACAGGAATCTTGGCTGGAGGCATGGGATTACCATCTGCCGCTGATACATACTCCAAGCTGCCCAGTTTCCATTCTCCGGAGGCATTGACGAACACCGACCAAGCGGATACATTATTGTGCCGCAGATTTCCATCGTTGTTGAGAAAGGACAAAGCACGCTAGAATTTATTGGTTGGTTTTTAAAATATTGCCATTGATAAGAGACTGGGGTGTACTCACTGTGATTTGGAAGATGCCCCAGGCCAGGTAGAGACCCTTTTGGACATTATCGGTGCCTAGTTTGGTGAAATAGCTACCTAGTGGCTCCACTGCCTCTGTGGCCACGTAAAGCATCTTGTCCGTCTCTAGTGAGTCCAGATATTGGAGGATACTTGGGTGACGCAACGTTTTCAACCTCTTAAGAGCCGCCTTGGCCAGTTCGCACTTGGTTTCAGAGCCACTGCGGATGTCGTATACGAAGACGGACACCTCTTCGAGTGTTGTCTTGCGCTTGGCCTTGTGTAGTGTCCATATGGAGTAGGATTCGAAACCGCCCACCGGTTCGCCAATATCGTAGGGGAAGTCTTTCGAGGAGTCGCGCGAGAAGAACGACCACATCATGTGTTTTGCTCGGCGGCTCAATATTTTGTTGCTGTTGATTTTCTTTGGAAGGCACTGTGTTTAGAGCCCCACTTTTCGCCTGCTTTCGCCAGCTGGTACTGCACTTTTCCTTTTATCTTTACGTTACTTTTGGTCTCTCCCTCTGCCTCGCCTTCTCCGTGGTGCGTCAGCCCGCCGCCTCGCCTCTGCGCCTACTGCTGCCACCCGACTATGATGCACTTTCAATATTTCAATCTTTCTGTCTCCTGGCCTCCGATGCGCAGCAACAATTTTCCCTTTCCTTTTCCAGTGCACACACAGCCAAAGGTTTTTGTACACTACTCCAGTAGTGGCTTCCGGGGTTTCATTGCTGGCGTCTGGCGTTTATTGTGGGATCGCTGATCCAGTTGGCGGAGGCGAGGAGTTAATTTGGGTTCTTTTGCCGTAGAGTAATTCTAATCTTTTTCCCGAGTACGTCAGCAGCGAAGCAAGAGCAGGACAAAGGGGTGCATTTTTGTATCAATCGATAGAGAAACTGCCGCCAAATTTAAATTCTTAATCGTAGTTTCAATTTTAAAATGGCACTGCAGCCTAGACATTAAAAGATGGCAAACCTTTTGCCATGTAAAGGATAACACTACCTTGAAAATTGACACTCTGAGTTACCTATATTAACTGCATCGCTCGGGAGTGCAAGTAGGGCCCGGTAAATTTTGGAACATTTCCTTAAAGAAACATATTTTAAGGTACCCAGTAGGCAGGAACAAAAAATATTGCGTATACTCCTTTATACTTTTTAAAATATGTATATAAGTTGTAGTTTTAATTGATTTTTGGATGGGATTCGAATTCACGGCATGCTCACTATGTATAGGTATCCTGTCAGTACAAAATGTTTCCTAATCGCAGATCTTTGATGAGTCATATTTATATAAAATATTCAGTGAATTAATTTTAAAGTCATAGAGCATTTTTTTATTTTCAATATTTTAATTTAAAAGATATCGTTAGTTCTCAAAAGCGATTTCAGTTCAAAAGTTATCGATATATTTTAACCAATTTAAAAAAAAAAAAAAAGAATTTAATTTGTACCATTTTGATTGATTTCAAAATAAAGATTTTTTACAATTGTAAATGTACAAATATGAGAATATATATGTATATCTACATAGATAATGCCAACTCGTTAGTTGGATTTAAGCACATAATCACAAGCGTTCGGGGAGAGCGGGGCCATGGAAGAAAACCAATTTAGTATCTTTATAATTGAAATCTTTTTCTTTGCAATTTACATTCTTCTGCATTCTATAGTCTGAAAAAAACAAAATAGTCTTCTGAAGCCTTCTGATGTCTAAATTGCCATTCACAACGATTTTCGCTAATCGAGGCATTGACAACCCTACTCTGTGTTATAACACTCATTGTGGTGCAGCCAACTTAACGCAGGTGAATTTTCTCCGACCATTTTGCCGAGCTGAACTTTATAATATTTTGATTAGGGAATCTTCGACAGGATGATGATGCAACGCACCCAGCTCTTGCTGCCCCTGGCCGTGGAGGCTACCGTGCTGGCCCAGCAGCAGCGTGGTATGGCCACCCTGAAGGCGATTTCCATCCGCCTGAAGTCTGTGAAGAACATTCAGAAAATTACGCAATCGATGAAGATGGTGTCCGCTGCCAAGTACGCTCGTGCCGAGCGTGACTTGAAGGCTGCTCGTCCTTACGGCGTCGGTGCCCAGCAGTTCTTCGAGAAGACTGAGATCACGGCCGACGAGAAGGCTGAGCCCAAGAAGCTGCTCATCGCCATCACTTCCGATCGTGGTCTGTGCGGCGCTGTCCACACTGGTGTGGCCCGTACGATCCGTAACGAGCTGGCCAAGGACGACACCAACACTAAGGTCTTCTGTGTCGGCGACAAGTCGCGCTCCATCCTTGCCCGTCTGTACGGCAAGAACATCCTCATGGTGGCCAACGAGGTGGGCCGTCTCCCACCCACTTTTCTGGACGCCTCGAAGATTGCGCACGAAGTGCTGAAGACCGGTTACGACTACACCGAGGGCAAGATCGTGTACAACAGGTTTAAGTCCGTGGTGTCCTACCAGTGCACCTCACTGCCCATCTACAGCGGAACCACTGTTGAGAAGTCCGAGAAGCTGGCCGTGTACGACTCGCTCGACAGCGATGTCGTCAAAAACTACCTTGAGTTCTCTCTGGCTTCGCTCATCTTCTACGCCATGAAGGAGGGTGCCTGCTCCGAGCAGTCCTCCCGCATGACGGCTATGGACAACGCCTCGAAGAACGCCGGTGAGATGATTGACAAACTTACCCTCACCTTCAACCGTACCCGACAGGCCGTGATTACTCGCGAGCTGATTGAAATCATCTCTGGTGCTGCCGCCCTCACATAAGCGGTGTCCATCCAAGGATTCAGCAGTTCGAAGAGCTCCAACGATAAAGCTAATTGCATATGGTGCCAGGCACCTGGAGCTACGCCTGGACGCCCTATTAAAGTTACAACAATTTCAGATAAACTCCCATAATAAATAGCGTGGAACGAACGAAAAAATAGCCAATAGCTCGAGTTATTTGTTTTAGTGAAGTGGGCAAGGAAGTGTACATCCTTTTTATTTTGAAAAATGTATACCCCATCTATGTTTTGGTTATCGAAGCCTTTTAAAGTCTCGCAAGAGCAAGTGACTCTTTATAGTTAAAAATTTATGAAAACACCTCAGTTTTGAAACTACATACATATATTTTAAAGCAAATTTCAATTTCGGAAAACAATACCTACACTTTGTGCTTAACTATGGAATTAAGGCGTGCAACTCTATTATAGTGCTCACTAGCACATATTCTGGAGAACGTTTAGTATGTAGGCGCCAATGTCTTCGTCCTGATTGGTCCAGGATATCAAAATGTTCTTTTGCTTTGCATCTTTCTCGTCCTCCTCCACTTTCACCTCGACGGACTCAATGGATATGGAGCCATTCTCCTGCATCGTAACCGTCCAGCCGGCTAGCTTTTCCTCGAGAATCGTCTTTAGCCTTTCACTGGTGCGGATCATGGGTCCTGAGTCGTCCATCTTTACCTTTGACGTGAATCGCATAACATGCCGATTGATTCCGATTTCCTTCAGGGCATCCGTCAAGTTTTGCAGCATTATTCGATTGTCTTTCATCACAAGGACACCGTGGATGAGACGTCGCCGCTTGGGGTCCGGCGGTTGGGCATTGTAGGTGCGGGCCTCGGCTTTGAGCAGAGAAACAGATGCATCTACTGGTATCTTTACGGGTGTGGAGATCACGCAGGTCTCTCCATTAGCCGGCATGTAGGTTTCCAGATTGAACTCGTCCTTGATCTTGGAACGCAAGAACTTCATTTTTTCAGCTTCCCCATGAACGAGCATTACGTTTTTCGGCTCGCAATTTTGGATCAACTGCATGATGCCTGAAAAGATACTAAGTTTTATATAATAATCCCATGTAAGGTATAGTGCACGTACCCTTGGCATCAGCATGAGCCGAGAAGCTCATGTATTCCACGGCCATTTTGACTTCCACCACCTGACGATTCTCAAACTCCACCTTCTTGGCTCCCCCAAGGATTTTGTTGCCCACGGTACCTTGCACACAGTAGCCGGGCATAATAACCATGTTGTTCTCGTTGGGCGCCCACTTCTTGAAGATCTGCAGCGATAAGCCAGCGTGCAACATTCCCGGTGTGGCAAACACCACCATTGCACCAGGATTGTCGATGTAAGCCTTGTCAAATGGTTTTATGTGCTTGAAGTCAAACATGTTGCGGTGGACGAAGGTCTTGCGAATCTTCTGGTTGGTCCAAGTGATGAACATTTTATAGTAGGTGTTTGCCTTTTCTGTGAGCCCCAGAGCAAAGTATATGGGGTACTTGAGGTTCATTCGGTCCCAGTACGTCTCCAGAAGAATGCAAAGCTCCTGGGCACGGCCAAGTGCGAAGACTGGAATTAGAACCTTGCCACCTTTGGCCACGCATTCGTGAACTTTCTTGAGAAAATCGCGCTCCCGGCACCGTTTCGAGTCTCTGATTGTTGTGGCGTACGTGCTCTCTGAGATCAGCAAGTCAGGACGGCACTTGTCGATCCAAGCGGCACCTAGATGCCGATCCGGAGTCATGTTGTAATCTCCGGTGTAGACCACACTCTGAGAACCCACTTTGATCCAAAACATGGCCGCGCCCAAAACGTGACCGGCATAGTAGGCCTTGATCTCCAGATCGGTGTCCACCATCATACTTTGATGGAGGGTGACGGGTATCACCTTCTTCATGCAATCCTTGATCATCTGGGTGGTGAAAAAGTTCGATTCTCCCTTCCGTTCTACGGCAACCTTTCGCATATCCTCCAGCAGAATAGGAGCTATGGCTTTGGTCGGGTGGGTCATGTAAATTGGTCCTGTGTAGCCAACTATCTCCGACATGTACGGTAGGGCGCCGCAGTGATCTGGAATGCACGCAATCGATAATCAACCGATTAGACCACCAATTTGCTATTCAGAGATAAGAAGTGGAAGCTACTCACCAAGGTGAAAGTGGGAAATGATCACACAGTCAATGTGACTGGTGATGGGGCCATCAGGGACGATGTAGGAAAAGTCTGGGAACCGGCGTTCATCATTATAGCCCATATGCATGCCGCAATCCAACATTATGTTCTTGCCGCCCATGGAGAGCAGAAGGCAACTACGGCCCACATCCTGGCCAGCTCCCAGAGGGGTTATCTTAATGTCCGGCATGTCGTGTGCGGATCCGTTCCAGCACTGACTACTTTTCCGGCTACTTCACTTGTAACTTGTTGCGCTAGCAATTGAAATTGCCGAAGAAGTGGGCCGTGATTTTTGTAAACAGCAAGGCCGATGGTGTGGAGTTGCCACACTGCCACGATTTCTTAAGGGGTCAATACAGTGGACTGATAAGAAATCGATTATTTATTTATAATATAAAGAGAAAGAAGAAGACTAATAAAAACTTTTAAAATGATGTTATAAATATTTCACAGTAAATAATTATCATTTTAGCTTATCTTAAAAGATTTCTAGTATGACCGTAGTTTGTTTGTTTTGATTGCGTTTTTTAGCACATTTAGCAGATAAATATTTTGCCGCTCGCTCAACCTCCATCGAAAACCCCTAAGAAAGATAGCTTCTTATCAAATTGCGATTAAAAACTGCAGGCAGGATGCCCGACTCCCTAGAGGATACTTCCACCATATCCTTGAGGATCTGCTTGGAGGGCCATGCCAATGCCTTGGCTTTAAACAAGGACAACACCCAGATTGCTGTGGCTGGACGGAGCTGTAAGATTACAAAATTCAAGGTTTCGCCACAGTGTTGCAATAAATATGTTCCATTTATTTTCCAATTAGTGCTCAAGGTTTACTCCATCGATAATGATGGCTTCACGGAGTCGTGCAATATGCGTGGAGGCAAGAACCAGAATCTGAGTTACTCCTCCAACGACGTGGCCTGGTCCACACTAGATAGTAATCTTCTGGCGACGGCAGCCACCAACGGTGTGGTGTCCGTTTGGGATCTCTCCAAGTTCGGGAGGCAGAAGCAGCTTTTGGTCTACAACGAACACGAACGAACCGCCCATACTGTAACTTTCCACAGCAGTGAACCTAATATCCTTATTTCTGGCTCCCAGGATGGCACAATTAAGTGCTTTGACATCCGCTCCGATAAATCGGTCAACACTTATTTTAGTAACTCCGAATCTGTGCGCGATGTCAAGTTCAGCCCGCACACCCAGAATATATTCTCGGCTGTCTCCGAAAATGGAACAGTTCAGCTCTGGGACATGCGAAAGTGGGACAAATCCATGGTTCAATTTACGGCTCACTACGGCCCGGTTTACACCTGCGATTGGCATCCAACTCGGAACTGGCTGGCAACTGGAAGCAGGGACAAGCAGATCAAGGTGTGGAATATGGACGGTCGGCCCGGATTGGAGCACACTATTCATACCATTGCCGGAGTGGGTCGTGTCAAATGGCGCCCAGAAAGAACGTGTGTAGAGGATATCGCTTCCTTCTATTCTTGACTATATTCAAATTGCAATCTCTTGTAGATATCACATAGCCAGTTGCGCCCTGGTGGTGGACTACAGCGTTCACGTTTGGGACATCCGACGACCCTACATTCCCTTTGCTTCATTTAACGAGCACACTAACGTGACGACGGGCATTGCGTGGCAAGGTAGCGATTCTCACTGCTTGCTCTCCACCAGCAAGGATTCCACCATCTATAAGCATGCGTTTAAGGATGCGACACGACCAGCACTGAAGGCGAACGCCCAAGGGGCTGGATTGGGCAGATTTGGGGACATATCATTCGCCAACAAGATCAAGGAGTACGCTCCCAAGACCAGTGGGGTATCCAACACCAAGTCTTCCAGTTTTATGTAAGTTATAGTATTCATAATTATTCGTCTATTAAGAATTTCCTTACAGAAGTCGCAGAAAAGCAAATGTGGCTGGCAGCGTGCAATTTCATTTGGATCATTCCAAGATGTACAAGTTTGCGCTTAACGACACGGTAGGATGGATATCTTTAGATCTTTTAGATGTTAGCCAATTAATTTTTTGTAGTTCCTTCAGTTTTCAGGGTACCCACTGAGTGAATCCGAAGCAAAGCCCAGGCAGGAACACGAAAGTTTCATCGGCTGCGCCAGGGAACTTATAATCAGTGGCAAAAAGCTGGCCGAACTTTGTGAGCATAATGCCGAGGTATCCAAGAAATACGGCAAACATAATGTGAGTATTTCAACGCCTTTTTAAGAAATTTATGTAACCTGATTTTGTAGGCATCTACGTTGTGGAACTTCATTAAACTTTTCTACGGCAGTAATCACTTTGAACCGCCTTTTGAGCATCGCTCTTCGTTTTCGAATCAAAAAAATCCCATGAACTCTCGTCGCGCCACTAAAGTTGCCAGTGATTGGCCGCAGCAGCGGAATGATCTTGGCCAGGATCTCAATGGCAACACACCCGAAACAGCCAACGAAATTTCCGTGGCTAATGCGGATGATGACCCACTCGGAGGCACTGGAGTGGAGCATCCCCCCACAAGCTCTGTGATTCTCTCCGAAACTGAAATTATCAGCGTGATTAATTTCGACAATTTCGAGCTTTTGCGCAACGGATTTATTTATGTGGGTCCTACGGAGTGCGCCAAGGCATTAGCTTTTCCCGCCCTGCATCATGATGTTCAGGCAGCGCGGCCCCAACTGGATCTCAAGGCATCGGATCACGAAAAGTCTCCTGTAAGCTTTTAACAAGTAGAAACATCTACGGTACATTCAACTGACATTCATCAGTTTTTACAAAAATTTGTAATTTATTTTGTAGCCTCCCCATGTTCCCACGGTCTTGAAAGTTAGTCACGTCCCGCCAATACCCATGTGGGAGCCCCATAAGTTTGTGGGTGATGCGCTTATGCTGATGAACGATGTGGGGGATGTGCAAACGGCATTGACTGTACTTATTTCATTGGGAGAGGCTCGAAAACTTTTGCCAATCGAGGATACATTGGTGGTAAATTAACAATGAACTTCTCATCTAAACAAACTTTAAATTCTGTTTTTTTTTTTTAAAGGAACACTGGTTTCATACTTATGTAGACCAGTTGCATCGCTATGAGCTTTGGAACGAGGCATGCGAGGTGATCAACCGTTCCTGGCTACGCTCGGTGCAGCAGCTTAATCAACACTCCACGGCGATGCACCTAAATTGCGGCGAATGTGGACGACCGATGGGGGGAAAGGTGGGCTGGTATTGCGACAAGTGCAAGTCCATGCAGTCGGCCAAGTGCTGTGTGTGTGGCCTCATAGTGCGAGGTGTCTATGCCTGGTGCCAAGGGTGCTCGCATGGCGGGCACATCGAACACCTTCAGAAGTACTTTGCCAAACACTCTAAATGCCCAAAGTGTGGACATTTGTGCGCCTATTCATGAAACACGGAGGAAGCTGAGTTCTCTCAGCTTCTTTTCCCCAATTGAGTCCCCATGTACAAAGCCAAAACGTAGTCTAATAAGTATGTTGTTCTTTTAAAAATATAAAATTTGTTTTTAACCTCTGAAAGGGAATTCTGAAAACTAAAAATTGTAAAATAATTAAAAGATACACTTAATCCTAAAAAAATGTTTCTCAGTTTCAACTAATGTTCAAAGAACTTTGTCAACTTCCTAACCCATAGAATTTAGTTTTAATTAGTTTGTTTGTCATTTTTATTTATTTGTGTTTATAAAATGTAAGTGCTACTTGATAAAAGTGCTTTTGAAAGGTAATATTACAACAACCTTGGGGTTGAGAGTTGAGCCGCACATTCAGTAGCAAAAAGGGGAGAAAAAATTATAAAATTGAGAGTTCTGTAAGGATTAAACAAAGAGCAACGAGTGTTGCTGTTGCCTTTAACTAAATAACTACTTGTATGTCCTCGCGGGTGGGTGAGAAGCGACCACTGTCCCACAAGGACACCACCGCCGGCCAGCGCTGTCCAAAAATCCATCGTGCCCTCAGCGCAATGGAATTTTGACAATGTAAAGCATTATTTTTAATTTTAATGTGTGTCCAATCAAATGATATTCTGCATTGCGCCTCGCGCACTTTTCAGCCTTGAGATGAGTGGTGGTCACTCAAAGCTTGGACTTTGGAGCAGCGTTGGCGGCTAATTGTCAAGAGGCAAAATCGAGGCTCACAGTTTGGCAGGAGTCGCCTACTGTTCCGCTGGAGCCGGATGAGGTGACGTTACGCTTTAGTGTTGGTCCTTCATCGTAGCGAATGGTCATTGAGTTGGAATTTCCTGGGATGAGCACGTAGCCTAGAGATTCGTAAAACTTGATCAGCTTGTCCTTGCAGTCCAATGACATTTTGTAGCAGCCAAGTTCTTCGGCCAGAAGTGAGACTGTTACCACGATCCTGAAAAAGAGCGAATGAAGTTAGAATTTAAATCTACAATCGTCTAGCTTCCTTACAGCTTGCCAAGTTGTTTTCCGCGGTAGGTATCGTTGACCACTACATCCTCGAGGCGGCCACGCTGAAGCAGAAAATAGGCCAAAGTTAATGGTAATACAATTATTCAATTCATTTGTAACTTACCACAGCACAGTTATGAATAAATTTGCGTTCAATGACCAAGGATGCTGCTCCGATAATCTCATTCTTCCGCGTATCCTCAATAACGGTTACAAAGTAATCCCCACTGGCTTTCATCTGCGAGAAGCGCGCTTAAAAATAACAGACAACTTATGCAAGGCTTACTAAAATAGTCTGTTTTTAGTCTTACTTAAAAACTGTGTACGACTGACATTGCCCACATGCGTGAGTTGGGAGAGTAGTTGCAGGAATCCACGGTCGTAGTCCGTATCCTTCAGGGGTCTCACCTTCATCCATGACTCTCCGGGATTAGCTGCCGAAATGAAAGGCTTGAACTTGGCTGGGCTACGGTGAAAGTCAAGCTTTATCAGCAGGCTGGGATCATACAGATACGTCTCCTCCTGGCAGATAGAGATTGAATATAGATTAGTTATTGATGAAATGGGTAGATAGGATTATCAATAAATAGGAATACAGTTTGAAACCGGCTCTGTTATTACCGAATATTGCACCATTTTGGCAATGATCTCTACACGTCAGCAAGAAACTGAGATGGAGTTAGCACTAAATGGGAATTCAGTCAACAGGTAAAGGTGTAGCGGCAGTGCCGATAACAGGAATGGTACCAAGAACAGGTTTCTTGCTCCCAACACTTTCGATTCGAGGTCCGTCAACTGGTTTAGTTTCATTTTAAATCTTTAGCGAGTCGCATACATTAATAGACAAAGCAAACCGGTAAAATGCGTACGGCACAGCCTACTAAATACTTGTATTGATTTTGGTCTGTTTTGGTTTTAACCAGGATTAAAGCAGACGACACAAAACGTGATTCCCAAGGTCGCGGTGACTGAACTGCCACATGGCCGCATCGTTTGCTTGTTTATTTTCACCTACATCCCCATGTCTTGCTGGCAAAATATTTCCACCTCCAAAGATATACATACATATATATGTACATATGTAGAACTATAACTTACCATGATTTTATCTAATGGTAGATAGCAATAATGAAGCACCAGTAAGCACTATCTTTCTACGCTGCCGATAAAATAATGCCGAAACTTAGGCGGAAGTTTTCCCGCAGCTTTATCACCGAAGTTTCGTATTCGACTGAGAGGAAAACACAAGCCGCGCCAATCGTGCAAGCCCCAGCAAGCTGAGTGCTAATTGGCAGTCGTGAGCGGCGAATGCAGTTTTAAAGGTGAAATGACCCTGAAGGTGGTGTCGAGTGAATGTAAACATTTGAACAGCTGATTAGGAAGAGAAAGGTTCTATGGGAGAAAATTAGTGAATGATACAAACCGGGAATCGAAATCGGTATCGGTATCGGAATAACAGGGTTGAAGCTTTTTTTTTACAACACTGGATAGCAGTTCTCGGATGATTCTGTTAAAAACGCGGCAATTTTAAATTTCCATAAAATAAAATTGGCTACGGGCGCTGCAAAGCCGAGTGCAGTTCAGCGAAAGCAGCTAATGACTTAGTAAAATCTAATTTAAAAAAAAAAGGGTACGAACCCAAAATACTAAAACGTTTCATTTTCAAGACCGGCATTATCTTTCAAATCCCCACAAAATTTTCTCTTCCTGAATTAAAAGAATTCATTTCATCGGCAATTCCCATCCACGAAATTGTTCGAGTGCATAGGAAAAACGAAAATAAAGATATGGTGCCTACTTCCAGGGTTAAAATAATCTTTGAAGGTGCACAAATTCCGGAGGAGGTCGTCTTCTTATATGTATACTAAAGTTAAGGTCGAACTTTTTGTTCCATTTAGTCAGTGCTTTAGGTGTTTCAGGTTTGGCCATTTCGCTCAACACTGCAAACAGACCCATGAAATTTGTCGCGATTGTTCCCTTTTGCATCCAAGGGAAGATAAATGTAATGTTCTCAAGTGCGCAAACTGAAACAGCCTCATTTTGCTACTGAGCTTGAATGCCCAGCAAGAAAGAGGGCTTTTGCTATCCAAAAATGCATGACATTTGAAAATCTTTCCAGAATAGAAGTCAAAACCAAGTTTCCTGCTTTATTTGAGAAGCAATCTGCTTACTCTTTTGAAATTTTTAATTCATCTGATTTTCCTCTGATTCAGACCCAGAAAAAATCAGCCATTCCAGTGTTGCAGAACAATATGCAAGTAGTTAAAATTAATCAAAACCGTATTAATGAATGTACGTCAAATTAGCGTCGCTCAGTTAGCGTCGAAGTGGAACGGTGGAATTGGAACACAGCAACGAATATTTTGTTTTTCAATTATTTCCGTATTTAGCCACTAAATTTAATCAAATAAACACTAGAATTGTTAAAAATTGAATAAACTATTGTTTTTTCTTACTTTGAGCGGGTTCTTCACTCTTTAAGTAGCTTAAAAATGGGGTTGAAAAATTGCCCCTACACTGTATTGAGCATTATCTTAGAAATAAGAGGATGCGCCAATAAGCGCGATACACCAGCTTATAGCCCATTCTTTTGAGAATATGCCCTGAAAATTTCATTAAAATCGTTCCCTACGTTTTGGAGCAAATCGACTAAAAGTGGACCAACCCGGCTAACAGCCCATACAAAAATGACCCCAAAAAATTGTTTTTCCAATTGTGAAGCTCCAAGAGGATGCGCCAATATGCACGGTAGTGGAGTCGATGAAGGACCTTTTCAAGTATATATGGACCAAAAATCATACAAATCGTTCCCACAGATTTTGAGAAAATCGAATTACAGTTTCCCATATAATTTGAACTAATAAGAGGAGCGCCAACCAGTGAACCGGAACCAGTCCACAAAAAGTTCATTGAACTAGTTTAAAAATACTATATGGCTCTGTTAGACTTATTAAGTCCTTCACAGAGGATGCGCCATTATGCACGGTATACCGTTGAAAAGCTTATTTTATTTAGAACATTATAAGAATATTTTTATTTAAATCGCTCCCACAGATTTAAAGAAATCAAGTCCCGAAAATTTCAGACCCTGATTCACCAACACTGGCCATTAACAGCATCACATATTTCTGCGCTGCCTAACACGGCGCTAGCCGTTATGGAATTTGAATGCCCCCCTAGCTTTTTTAAAGAGGATGCGCCATTATGCACGGTATACCATGAGAAAGCTAATTTTTAGCCCGTTCGAATGGTACCAGTGCCATTAAAATCCTTCCCACAGATTTTTAGAAATCAAGTCCCGAAATTTTCGGGACCTGGTTTGCCAATACTGGCCATTATCATTTTTCCGTGTTTGCACGCTGCACAACACGGCAGCCGCCATTATGTATGTTTGCCTTTTTTTTAAAGAGGATGCGCCATTATGCACGGTATACCACGAGAAAGCTAATTTTTAGCCCGTTCGAATGGTACCAGTGCCATTAAAATCCTTCCCACAGATTTTTAGAAATCAAGTCCCGAAATTTTCGGGACCTGGTTTGCCAATACTGGCCATTATCATTTTTCCGTGTTTGCACGCTGCACAACACGGCAGCCGCCATTATGTATGTTTGCTTTTTTTTAAAGAGGATGCGCCATTATGCACGGTATACCACGAGAAAGCTAATTTTTAGCCCGTTCGAATGGTACCAGTGCCATTAAAATCCTTCCCACAGATTTTTAGAAATCAAGTCCCGAAATTTTCGGGACCTGGTTTCCAATACTGGCCATTATCATTTTTCCGTGTTTGCACGCTGCACAACACGGCAGCCGCCATTATGTATGTTTGCCTTTTTTAAAGAGGATGCGCCATTATGCACGGTATACCACGAGAAAGCTAATTTTTAGCCCGTTCGAATGGTACCAGTGCCATTAAAATCCTTCCCACAGATTTTTAGAAATCAAGTCCCGAAATTTTCGGGACCTGGTTTCCCAATACTGGCCATTATCATTTTTCCGTGTTTTCACGCTGCACAACACGGCAGCCGCCATTATGTATGTTTGCCTTTTTTTAAAGAGGATGCGCCATTATGCACGGTATACCACGAGAAAGCTAATTTTTAGCCCGTTCGAATGGTACCAGTGCCATTAAAATCCTTCCCACAGATTTTTAGAAATCAAGTCCCGAAATTTTCGGGACCTGGTTTGCCAATACTGGCCATTATCATTTTCCCGGGTTTTGACGCTGCCCAACACTTATGGCGCCATTAAAAAAAGAGCTCATGTACGTACATACATACATACATATATAGAAAACACATGGCAGCATACATACATATATAGAAAACATATGGCATAGAAACTACTATATGTATGTATGCTGCCATATGTTTTCTATATATGTATGTATGCTGCCATGTGTTTTCTATATATGTATGTATGTATGTACGTACATGAGCTCTTTTTTTAATGGCGCCACAAGTGTTGGGCAGCGTCAAAACCCGGGAAAATGATAATGGCCAGTATTGGCAAACCAGGTCCCGAAAATTTCGGGACTTGATTTCTAAAAATCTGTGGGAAGGATTTTAATGGCACTGGTACCATTCGAACGGGCTAAAAATTAGCTTTCTCGTGGTATACCGTGCATAATGGCGCATCCTCTTTAAAAAAAGGCAAACATACATAATGGCGGCTGCCGTGTTGTGCAGCGTGCAAACACGGAAAAATGATAATGGCCAGTATTGGGAAACCAGGTCCCGAAAATTTCGGGACTTGATTTCTAAAAATCTGTGGGAAGGATTTTAATGGCACTGGTACCATTCGAACGGGCTAAAAATTAGCTTTCTCGTGGTATACCGTGCATAATGGCGCATCCTCTTTAAAAAAGGCAAACATACATAATGGCGGCTGCCGTGTTGTGCAGCGTGCAAACACGGAAAAATGATAATGGCCAGTATTGGCAAACCAGGTCCCGAAAATTTCGGGACTTGATTTCTAAAAATCTGTGGGAAGGATTTTAATGGCACTGGTACCATTCGAACGGGCTAAAAATTAGCTTTCTCGTGGTATACCGTGCATAATGGCGCATCCTCTTTAAAAAAGGCAAACATACATAATGGCGGCTGCCGTGTTGTGCAGCGTGCAAACACGGAAAAATGATAATGGCCAGTATTGGCAAACCAGGTCCCGAAAATTTCGGGACTTGATTTCTAAAAATCTGTGGGAAGGATTTTAATGGCACTGGTACCATTCGAACGGGCTAAAAATTAGCTTTCTCGTGGTATACCGTGCATAATGGCGCATCCTCTTTAAAAAAAGGCAAACATACATAATGGCGGCTGCCGTGTTGTGCAGCGTGCAAACACGGAAAAATGATAATGGCCAGTATTGGCAAACCAGGTCCCGAAAATTTCGGGACTTGATTTCTAAAAATCTGTGGGAAGGATTTTAATGGCACTGGTACCATTCGAACGGGCTAAAAATTAGCTTTCTCGTGGTATACCGTGCATAATGGCGCATCCTCTTTAAAAAAAAGGCAAACATACATAATGGCGGCTGCCGTGTTGTGCAGCGTGCAAACACGGAAAAATGATAATGGCCAGTATTGGGAAACCAGGTCCCGAAAATTTCGGGACTTGATTTCTAAAAATCTGTGGGAAGGATTTTAATGGCACTGGTACCATTCGAACGGGCTAAAAATTAGCTTTCTCGTGGTATACCGTGCATAATGGCGCATCCTCTTTAAAAAAAAGCAAACATACATAATGGCGGCTGCCGTGTTGTGCAGCGTGCAAACACGGAAAAATGATAATGGCCAGTATTGGCAAACCAGGTCCCGAAAATTTCGGGACTTGATTTCTAAAAATCTGTGGGAAGGATTTTAATGGCACTGGTACCATTCGAACGGGCTAAAAATTAGCTTTCTCGTGGTATACCGTGCATAATGGCGCATCCTCTTTAAAAAAAAGGCAAACATACATAATGGCGGCTGCCGTGTTGTGCAGCGTGCAAACACGGAAAAATGATAATGGCCAGTATTGGCAAACCAGGTCCCGAAAATTTCGGGACTTGATTTCTAAAAATCTGTGGGAAGGATTTTAATGGCACTGGTACCATTCGAACGGGCTAAAAATTAGCTTTCTCATGGTATACCGTGCATAATGGCGCATCCTCTTTAAAAAAAGCTAGGGGGGCATTCAAATTCCATAACGGCTAGCGCCGTGTTAGGCAGCGCAGAAATATGTGATGCTGTTAATGGCCAGTGTTGGTGAATCAGGGTCTGAAATTTTCGGGACTTGATTTCTTTAAATCTGTGGGAGCGATTTAAATAAAAATATTCTTATAATGTTCTAAATAAAATAAGCTTTTCAACGGTATACCGTGCAATTTGGCGCATCCTCTGTGAAGGACTTAATAAGTCTAACAGAGCCATATAGTATTTTTAAACTAGTTCAATGAACTTTTTGCGGACTGGTTCCGGTTCACTGGTTGGCGCTCCTCTTATTAGTTCAAATTATATGGGAAACTGTAATTCGATTTTCTCAAAATCTGTGGGAACGATTTGTATGATTTTTGGTCCATATATACTTGAAAAGGTCCTTCATCGACTCCACTACCGTGCATATTGGCGCATCCTCTTGGAGCTTCACAATTGGAAAAACAATTTTTTGGGGTCATTTTTGTATGGGCTGTTAGCCGGGTTGGTCCACTTTTAGTCGATTTGCTCCAAAACGTAGGGAACGATTTTAATGAAATTTTCAGGGCATATTCTCAAAAGAATGGGCTATAAGCTGGTGTATCGCGCTTATTGGCGCATCCTCTTATTTCTAAGATAATGCTCAATACAGTGTAGGGGCAATTTTTCAACCCCATTTTTAAGCTACTTAAAGAGTGAAGAACCCGCTCAAAGTAAGAAAAAACAATAGTTTATTCAATTTTTAACAATGCTAGTGTTTATTTGATTAAATTTAGTGGCTAAATACGGAAATAATTGAAAAACAAAATATTCGTTGCTGTGTTCCAATTCCACCGTTCCACTTCGACGCTAACTGAGCGACGCTAATTTGACGGACATTATTAATGAGAATAGAAATGCTCAGGTCACTATGGACAATTACAAATGTGCAATTAGGGAAAATAGTTTTTCTCTTAATGAAAAATTTATTCCTCCTTTAAAATCCTCCATTTTCTCACAGCAACAACAAACCCCCTCTCCATCCCAGCCTATTACTTTGACCCAATCTTCAGCTTTAGAAACCGCCGAAAACAGTTTAATTTTTATTTCCTCTCAAATTGCTTCATTTTTTCTAGAAAATAATACAAACATTCCAGCAGATTCTAAAACCTTTTTGGAAAACCTAATATCACGTATTGCCAAAACCAATTCTGAAATTGATGTGCAAAAATTGCGCTCAAGTTCTTAAATTATTAATTTTTTAGAAGCTTCTCAGTATTATATTCATTTTTTTTTTATTTTTTTTTTTATTTATTTTATTTATATTTTTTTTTTTTTGTTTTTATTTATGAAAATCTTACAGTATAATATTCAAAGTTTGACATCCAATAATAATAAACAGCTTCTTGAACTTTTTTATAGTTAATAACAATGTAGACATTAAACATTACATTGAAGACATTACAGACATTACATTGGATTAAAAATAATGCGATGTGTAGCCTTGCTAATTTTAATTTTGTATGTAAGCCCCGTAATGACGGTTATGGGGGTGTAGGTATTTATATAAAAAAAAATATTAAGTATAAAATTATTAACTGTGATACGGAAATTGAAACCATTGGAATCTCTACGACCAACCTAAAACACAATATTAATGTTTTCAGTGTATATTCTCCCCTTAGTACCAACGTAAATGACTTCGAGAAAGGTTGTAAAAGATACAATAATTCCAAAAGATAATTCCAAAATTTCCAACAGTAATCATTTCCCAATAATATTAGAATTGTCTAATTTTACTGCTTCTACAAATAGAAATAAGCTGCTACAATCTAAAATTTTGGATGATTTTTCCAAAATTAAAATTACTTCTTTGAACAATCTCACAAATACAACAAACAGCATTTTAAAAAGAAATACAATTAAAATTTATGAAAATAACAAATATATCCCAAAAAAATACTGGGACGAGAATTGTGAGAGACTTTTTAGAGTCTCTTTAAAATTTAGACTAAGAAATGCCAGTAGACAAACATATTACAAAACTAAATTATTATCGGATGCTATAATTATACCCTTGCAGAGGGTATTATAATTTTGGTCAAAAGTGTGCAGTGAAGGAGACATCTCCGACCCTATAAAGTATATATATTCTTGATGATGATCACCTCCTGAGTTGATATGAGCATGTCCGTCTGTCTGTTTCTACGCGAACTAGTCTCCCAGTTTTAAAGCTATCGTCTTGAAACTTTGCACACACCCTTCTTTTCTTTGCACGCAGTATATATGTAAGTCGGAACGGCCCGGATCGGCCGACTATATCCTATAGCTGCCATATAACTGATTGATCGGAAATGGTATAACTTTGGTGTTTTTAGAGTTAGAGAGTTCAAATTTGACATGAGAGCTATTTTTGGCAAAACATATTACAGATTTTTTGATTTTGCTAGAGCAAGCCAAAACCGACGTCCATTTCGCGTACGTTCGCGACCTCATGTTTTTTGCCAATATTATGAAAATGAAAAATCTAAAAACAAGTATAAGAAAAAAATGCACCAAAAGCCAAAAAAAGTATCAAAAAATATTGTTTTCTTTAATTGTGTTGGCACTAATTGCGTACAAACTTAGTACGTTCGCGACCCGGGGAAATGCCCATACCAATGCCCAATGCTCATACTATAAACATTTATTTTAATTTTATTTCGTTAAACGAAATTCTATGATTAATAATGTATTATCAGTGGTACGCCTTCGTCGCATATAATGACTTCCGTGATCGTTCAGTCGCAAATCTAGCTTACGGGAAGAATGTTGAGTTTGAAATTTTTAATTCTGGCGATTTGCCTAACTCTGAGCCTGCAATGGATAGATCCTGTGGACTCTAAAGTCTGCGAGACGCATGACAAGAAAATAGGCAAATGCCGGCGTCCTAAAGATTGCCCGGCTCTTAGGCCTATTGTGCAAAAGCAGAAAAAAGGGATTCCCCTAACCCACGAGGAGCAAAAGTTTAATAAATCAGTTTTAATATGTGAAAAGGTAACTAAAGCAACGCGTGACTTTAAAGTACAGAGTCTAACTCAAGTCTTCTCCTAGAGAAAATATTTTTGCTGTGAGGATCCATTTAATGCTGAAGGAGTAGACTTGCTGAAAGAAAATGATGAAATATGCGGTATTTTCTCAGACCCTAAGGTTTTAGGAGGTAACAATGTTAGACTGGGATCTCGGCCGTGGGCGGCCATACTCGAGTTTAATACGACACAGCCTATTAGGGCACGGTTTAAATGTGGCGGCACTCTGATAACTTCGAGTAAGTTCTATAAAACATTGATCCTATGTCACTTTATTTTATTTTTTTGTTTGACAGAATTTGTCTTGACGGCTGCGCACTGTATCGAAGATACCCTGTAAGTAAAGGAGCTCAACCCAAGACAAAACACACCTACTTATAAAATACCCTTTTTTCCAGGGTATCCGTCCGTCTGGGAGAACATGATCTTAGTAAGGACGAGGACTGCTTAAGCTTTGACGATGAGCCAGTGTGTCTGGATAAACCCCTGGACGTTCCAGTCGACAAGAGTTTTGTCCACGAGGGATATGAACGTTTTAGAGCTGTGAACGATATTGCATTAATCCGCCTAAAATACCCAGTCCAGTTTACTGATTGGATACGACCCATATGTCTGCCGATAACAAAAGATCTTCAGTTTGAGAGTCAAACCAACATACGGATGGAGGTTGTCGGCTGGGGCATAACAGAAGAAGAAAAGCTCTCAGACGTCCCTAAAAAAGCTTTCATCAATCGGCTGAACTTAACCGAGTGCAACATCTTTAATCCAACGAGCACAAAACTCTGCGCCAGTGGCTTGGGGAAAGATAGCTGCAGTGGTGACTCCGGAGGACCACTGAACTATCCCACTTTATACAATGGCAAACAGCGCTGGGTGCAGGCTGGAATCGTGAGTTACGGAGTACAGAAATGTGGCAAAAATCCGTATGCGGTCTATACTGATGTGGCTGAATATATGGGTTGGATAACCGAAACCATTGCGCAAAACACATAGCCTCTCTAATCGAAATTAAAAATTGAAATCATATTGAAATAAATTATTAAAAATAATATTAACTGCTATTATTCTTAATAACACATCCTTCTTTTCCATGCACTTAGTATATACATATAGAATTCGAAACGGCCGGGATCGTCAGACTATATTCTGCCATGTAACTGATTTATCGCATCTTATCGAATTATATTTAATACAATCAATAAAAATATTTGTGGCGTTCCGTTAGCGACCATTAATTTTTGTTTTCTGTTTGTAGCGTTTTTTTAAACTTTTATGACCCTGACACTGACCCTGGCACTTGCAACCTTTTATCAACGACTCCCGATGTGGCTTCCCGAAAATATTTCAGTGCTGCCAATTCAGCTTTGCACATTTTATACCATTGCAGAGGGTATTATAGTTTTGGTCAAAAGTGTGCAACGCAGTAAAGGAGAAACCTCCGACCCTATAAAGTACATATGTATGTATATTCTTGATCAAGATGACCTCCTCAGTTGATATAAGGATGTCCGTCTGTCTGTTTCTACCCGAACTAGTCTCTCAGTTATAATCCTATCGACTTTAAACTTTGGACAAACCCTTCTTTTCTATGCACGCAGTATGTACACAAGTCGGAACGGCCGGAATCGGCCGACTATATCCTATAGCTGCAATAGGATTCGGCTCCGCTCGAAGTTAGCTTTCCTTTCTTGTTTCATTATACCCTTGCAGAGGGTATTATAGTTTTGGTCAAAAGTGTGCAACGCAGTGAAGGAGACATCTCCGACCCTATAAAGTATATATATTCTTGATGAGGATCACCTCCTGAGTTGATATGAGCATGTCCGTCTGTCCGTCTGTCTGTTTCTACGCGAACTAGTCTCCCAGTTTTAAAGCTATCGTCTTGAAACTTTGCACACACCCTTCTTTTCTTTGCACGCAGTATATAAGTCGGAACGGCCCGGATCGGCCGACTATATCCTATAGCTGCCATATAACTGATAGAGAGAGTTAGAGTTAGAGAGTTCAAATTTGACATGAGAGCTATTTTTGGCAAAACATTACGTCATGCCAAATTTCATAAGGATCAGCCGACTATATCCTATAGCTGCCATATAACTGAACGATCGGAAATGACCCAACTTTCGTGTTTTTGAAGATAGAAAGCTGGAATTTAATACAGATTCTATTTTTGGTCAGTTGATCCAACCTACCAAATTCCATTAGGATCGGCCGACTATATCCTATAGCTGCCATATAACTGAACGATCGGAAATGGTATTTGGTAGAAATATCAACTTTCGTATTTTTGAAGATAGAAGTTTGGGACTTTTTATAGATTTTGTATTGTAATAAATTGGATTATATATTCCTATTCCCATAAGGATCGGCCAACTATATCCGATGTTTGCGATATATATCCGGTTTTAACTGCAAGGGTATATAAACTTCGGCTCCGCCCGAAGTTAGCTTTCCTTTCTTGTTTTTTTTTGAAAATAACAAAAAACTAAATAATTATTTTTACAAAGTAAGAAAGGAAAATACGGAAAAATTATCAGATAATTTGACAAATCCAAAGTCAGTAAAAAAAATGTGGCAAACTATCAAATCTCTAAATTTTATAAGCAAATTAAACCCACTAGCAGCCAATATAAGGATTCTGATTTCCCACATCAGATCTCCTCAGCCCCAGACACCCCAGAATGTATTCAAAAGGAAGTTCCCTCTTTTGACATTAATAGATTAAAAGAACCTTAAATAGATTGTACTTTCCGGCATCTGATCTCACTAATTTTTTAAAATCACGTAATCCAAATTCTGCGAAAGGTCTAGACAACATTTCCTATAGCATGCTTCTTTCCCTACCCCTTGACGAAATCCAAAATTTAGTATTTATGGTTAATAAAATTTTTAACGATGGCATAGTACCTGATTCTTGGCGTAGAATAAAAGTTGTTGTAAAATCTAAAAACAAGTATAAGAAAAAAACTCACCAAAAGCCAAAAAAAGTATCAAAAAATTTTGTTTTCTTTAATTTTGTTGGCACTAATTGCGTACAAACTTAGTACGTTCGCGACCCGGGGAAATGCCCATACCAATGCCCAATGCTCATACTATAAACATTTATTTTAATTTTATTTCGTTAAACGAAATTCTATGATTAATAATGTATTATCAGTGGTACGCCTTCGTCGCATATAATGACTTCCGTGATCGTTCAGTCGCAAATCTAGCTTACGGGAAGAATGTTGAGTTTGAAATTTTTAATTCTGGCGATTTGCCTAACTCTGAGCCTGCAATGGATAGATCCTGTGGATTCTAAAGTCTGCGAGACGCATGACAAGAAAATAGGCAAATGCCGGCGTCCTAAAGATTGCCCGGCTCTTAGGCCTATTGTGCAAAAGCAGAAAAAAGGGATTCCCCTAACCCACGAGGAGCAAAGGTTTAATAAAGCAGTTTTAATATGTGAAAAGGTAACTAAAGCAACGCGTGACTTTAAAGTACAGAGTCTAACTCAAGTCTTCTCCTAGAGAAAATATTTTTGCTGTGAGGATCCATTTAATGCTGAAGGAGTAGACTTGCTGAAAGAAAATGATGAAATATGCGGTATTTTCTCAGACCCTAGGGTTTTATTAGGTAACAATGTTAGACTGGGATCTCGGCCGTGGGCGGCCATACTCGAGTTTAATACGACACAGCCTATTAGGGCACGGTTTAAATGTGGCGGCACTCTGATCACTTCGAGTAAGTTCTATAAAACATTGATCCTATGTCACTTTATTTTATTTTTTGTTTGACAGAATTTGTCTTGACGGCTGCGCACTGTATCGAAGATACCCTGTAAGTAAAGGAGCTCAACCCAAGACAAAACACACCTACTTATAAAATACCCTTTTTCCAGGGTATCCGTCCGTCTGGGAGAACATGATCTTAGTAAGGACGAGGACTGCTTAAGCTTTGACGATGAGCCAGTGTGTCTGGATAAACCCCTGGACGTTCCAGTCGACAAGAGTTTTGTCCACGAGGGATATGAACGTTTTAGAGCTGTGAACGATATTGCATTAATCCGCCTAAAATACCCAGTCCAGTTTACCGATTGGATACGACCCATATGTCTGCCGATAACAAAAGATCTTCAGTTTGAGAGTCAAACCAACATACCGATGGAGGTTGTCGGCTGGGGCATAACAGAAGAAGAAAAGCTCTCAGACGTCCCTAAAAAAGCTTTCATCAATCGGCTGAACTTAACCGAGTGCAACATCTTTAATCCAATGAGCACAAAACTCTGCGCCAGTGGCTTGGGGAAAGATAGCTGCAGTGGTGACTCCGGAGGACCACTGAACTATCCCACTTTATACAATGGCAAACAGCGCTGGGTGCAGGCTGGAATCGTGAGTTACGGAGTACAGAAATGTGGCAAAAATCCGTATGCGGTCTATACTGATGTGGCTGAATATATGGGTTGGATAACCGAAACCATTGCGCAAAACACATAGCCTCTCTAATCGAAATTAAAAATTGAAATCATATTGAAATAAATTATTAAAAATAATATTAACTGCTATTATTCTTAATAACACATCCTTCTTTTCCATGCACTTAGTATATACATATAGAATTCGAAACGGCCGGGATCGTCAGACTATATTCTGCCATGTAACTGATTTATCGCATCTTATCGAATTATATTTAATACAATCAATAAAAATATTTGTGGCGTTCCGTTAGCGACCATTAATTTTTGTTTTCTGTTTGTAGCGTTTTTTTAAACTTTTATGACCCTGACACTGACCCTGGCACTTGCAACCTTTTATCAACGACTCCCGATGTGGCTTCCCGAAAATATTTCAGTGCTGCCAATTCAGCTTTGCACATTTTATACCATTGCAGAGGGTATTATAGTTTTGGTCAAAAGTGTGCAACGCAGTGAAGGAGACATCTCCGACCCTATAAAGTATATATATTCTTGATGATGATCACCTCCTGAGTTGATATGAGCATGTCCGTCTGTCCGTCTGTCTGTCCGTCTGTCTGTTTCTACGCGAACTAGTCTCCTAGTTTTAAAGCTATCGTCTTGAAACTTTGCACACACCCTTCTTTTCTTTGCACGCAGTATATATGTAAGTCGGAACGGCCCGGATCGGCCGACTATATCCTATAGCTGCCATATAACTGATTGATCGGAAATGGTATAACTTTGGTGTTTTTAGAGTTAGAGAGTTCAAATTTGACATGAGAGCTATTTTTGGCAAAACATATTACAGATTTTTTGATTTTGCTAGAGCAAGCCAAAACCGACGTCCATTTCGCGTACGTTCGCGACCTCATGTTTTTTGCCAATATTATGAAAATGAAAAATCTAAAAACAAGTATAAGAAAAAAATTCACCAAAAGCCAAAAAAGTATCAAAAATTTTGTTTTCTTTAATTTTGTTGGCACTAATTGCGTACAAACTTAGTACGTTCGCGACCCGGGGAAATGCCCATACCAATGCCCAATGCTCATACTATAAACATTTATTTTAATTTTATTTCGTTAAACGAAATTCTATGATTAATAATGTATTATCAGTGGTACGCCTTCGTCGCATATAATGACTTCCGTGATCGTTCAGTCGCAAATCTAGCTTACGGGAAGAATGTTGAGTTTGAAATTTTTAATTGTGGCGATTTGCCTAACTCTGAGCCTGCAATGGATAGATCCTGTGGATTCTAAAGTCTGCGAGACGCATGACAAGAAAATAGGCAAATGCCGGCGTCCTAAAGATTGCCCGGCTCTTAGGCCTATTGTGCAAAAGCAGAAAAAAGGGATTCCCCTAACCCACGAGGAGCAAAGGTTTAATAAATCAGTTTTAATATGTGAAAAGGTAACTAAAGCAACGCGTGACTTTAAAGTACAGAGTCTAACTCAAGTCTTCTCCTAGAGAAAATATTTTTGCTGTGAGGATCCATTTATTGCTGAAGGAGTAGACTTGCTGAAAGAAAATGATGAAATATGCGGTATTTTCTCAGACCCTAAGGTTTTAGGAGGTAACAATGTTAGACTGGGATCTCGGCCGTGGGCGGCCATACTCGAGTTTAATACGACACAGCCTATTAGGGCACGGTTTAAATGTGGCGGCACTCTGATCACTTCGAGTAAGTTCTATAAAACAT